GAGAGAGAGAGAGAGAGAGAGAGAGAGAGAGAGAGAGAGAGAGAGAGAGAGAGAGAGAGAGAGAGATTGGTTGATTGATTGACTGATAAAGCTCACCCTGGTTATGAAAAATTTGAAGCTATGTTTCCGGTTCGATACAGTCATGATTAGGGTGCGCTGTGTTGGAAGGAAGCCGGGTAGTTCTACTTAGTGGTGGTCCTCTGAGTTCTAGAAGGAATAAAGTAGAATAGAGCGCTTTGGTTGATGGATCCATGTTTCCCCTCCATGTTGTGACTAATTTGTCAATTCCCCCCCTCACTTCAGGGCTCTGATTTGTGCTCGTGACATAGCGCAGCCTTTTGCTTTTTTCCGTCCCTGCTGCGTTCCCAAGGGGGAAAGAGAAGAACTAAATTGGCAGACTGAGTCTCTCTTTTCTTGAAAAAGATCCTCTATTATATCCTGGATGATGAGATGATGATGATGATGATGATGATGATGATGATGACAAGGACAATGATGATGATGATGATGATGATGAGGAGGAGGAGGAGGAGGAGGATGAGGGGGATGACGATGATGATGGGGATGATGATGATGTTGTGGATAGACATGATCATTTTGACAACAATCCGATGCTAATAATGATGAGAACGGTACAGAGGAGAGAGACTGACTGGCGAGGCCGATGTGGGGTAGGGAGAGCCTGATGCCAATGCATTGAGCCGGAGGAGGAGGAGGAGGAGGAGGAGGAGGAGGAGGAGGAGGACAAGAAGAATGAGACGAAGCAGAAGAACGGAAGGAAGACGGGTGAGAAGGATGACCGTAATTAAGTACTATGCACAGTACTGATGCTGCTGCTGCTGCTGCCGATGAAGATGCTGATGATTTGGAGTTTGATAATCATGAATCGGAAGGTAGCTATGGGAAGTGGTAGTAACTGAGAGGCAATATGCCTCTAAGCGCGCGGCTCCCCGTTTGCAGCTCATTCAGGATGACACGGAGCTGGTAAGGGACCCAGCTGTTTGATTGCAGTATGCCTCTGAGCAGGCGATGTCCCTTTCCATGCCCTCTGAGGCATGCCTATGCCCCTTTCCACCTTGCCTCTGCGCACGGCTATGCACCTTTCGACCTTCGCTCTGAGCATGGCTGTCCCTTTCCACAGGGTCTTTGAGCACGGCTGTGTCCGTTTCCACGTCTCTGAGCAGGGCTGTGTCCGATGCGATGCTCTGAGCACGGCTATGTCCGATGCGATGCTCTGAGCACGGCTATGTCCGATTTGATGCTCTGAGCACGGCTATGTCCGATTTGATGCTCTGAGCACGGCTATGTCCGATTTGATGCTCT